GCGAGACGATTTGGTTCAAATGTTCGCGTGTGTCCGCTTGTATAAGTCTCTCGTGTGCTCCTGTGATTCATAACGATCGTGTTCCGTGTATTAGTCTATAGATGTGTGTATGTATGTATTCGTATAAGTGAGTGTCAGCGAATCGCATATGTATCGGTTCGCGTGTAGAAAATGCTAATTTCCAGGGTCAAGGAGCTCTCGAGGCTCGTTTTCTACGACGGGCACCAGCTGAGGGGCTCGTTCGGCTCCTTCTGCCTCTTGCTTCTCTCGATACCCCTTCCTATCAGTGTATATGCAGAAAGTTTCATCGTTTCGTTGATTTTTTTTTTTATTGTTCTTTATTATTATTTCTCTTTTTTGTTTTATTTTTACTGCAGCACAAATCAAGGGTTATTAAGTACGGGGATTGGGGGTGGACCTCGCGCGCCCTGCCGGCCAGGACTTGTACCTCACACAACTCCCTAGTTACGAGTACCGAGACCTAGTGTTCTGGTGATGATAGTTCGATCGCGTACGACTTCTGGGCATCTCGCTCAGTTCTCTGCTCTCGTCGCTGTTTTGCACGCGCTTCACCGTGGGTGTCTCCGTTTTTGTTCTCTTTCGATCGCGTGCACCTCCGAGATCGAGTCTCGATTTTTCCGTAGATCGTTACGAGACACCCTGCTTAATATACCCTTGATAGATTCCTAGACTACCACATTCTTAAATTTATAATTTAAAATGATCGAGTTTCGTATCCATTCAGTGTTCAGAGATATAGGAATATGCTTGCTGAAGATCTATCGATGTACTTTAAGCAGGGTGAAATCGTCGAGACCGCTCTATCGCTGTACAATTAACGCTATTCCTTCGTGTCCTTTTTTCAATCAGATCAACGTCAGTTACGCTTGTTCCGCCCGGTAACTACTAATCGAAAGCTACTAATAAGTTAAAAACTATTTTACGTCTACCACCGCTGAACGACTCTTTCTATGAGCGTTCCCATTCTCACCTTTTTCTCTAGCACTCGCTCTCATTCGCACTCTCATCGTTTCCACTCTCCGTTGCACACGTACTTCATTCTTAAATTAGAAATAACTTGAACAAGTTTTCCCGTTTAAAAATAGACACAAAATTCATTTTGTTACGCGTTATAAGCCTTACATCCTATTACGTATATTCTGATCACGATTAATAGTTCGGTTCAGCAATGAATTCGCATCGCTCACGCCCCGACGCGATGTCCACGAACGACCGTCTCGTCGTTTTCACTCGTCCTCTCTTTCATATTCTCCTCTCTTTCGCGCTTGTTTCTGATCTATTTTCTTCTTTTCTCGCTCGTTTTCTTTTTTTCTTCTACCCAAACACGATACTATGGTCCACGATACGCGCGACCTTCCACATGCCCACGAGCCAGGACCATTCAGAAAGCAGACGCCGCGTAGACGATATAACGCCTGTCATAAACACGCCTACCGCTCGCGATACTATCGATCGCGCGATCCGCGACGCTGAGCGCGTTTCCCCGGCTCTGGAGTATCCAAACGGGGAACAATCGAGGGGGACAAACGAAAGAAGACAAAACTAGAGCAAGAAGAACGATTTGGGGTTCCCCGGTTTCGACAGACACGCGCGATCTGTTGCTCTCGTTCATCGCGTTCAAAGAACGGGAGATATTGTCAGTCGTTTAAAATAAATTCAATACATCGATGTTCGAATCGAGTTATGTCCTAAGTTATGTTATAAGAGAAACGAATTAAAATAATCTTCCATATCGAAAGTGTAAAAAGTTGCAAGTCAACTATCGTAAATATTATTAGTTCGGGTGACTAAAAGAAACGCTATAGGTGGCAACGAATCGCGCGAAACCTAAGAAACGACCTACCTAAACGACTATCGCTCTTGTTCGTGTGCCCCTCGAATGCCTGATCCTCGCCTAACGACCTTCTCTAGCACACCGAGTCGCCGTACGCGGCCGTTTCTTCACTATAATGCCCGTGTTTGTTCACGAAATTCCGTGCACTGTGCCGCACCGCGACAGACCTTTCGTTTTTGGAGAACAGAAGGAAAAAGGGGGTAGAGAAAGACAAAAAGAGAAAGGGTGGACGCGTCAGTCGTTTCTTCGGCGGGGCACGTGGCGTGTGAACCACGTGCTATCACGACGACGCTCAAGACCGAAACCAAGGAAGGAAGAAGAAGAAGAAGAAGAAGAAGAAGAAGAAGAAGAAGAAGAAGAAGACGAAGAAGAAGAAGCATAAGCGCCTGAGAACAACAGGTTCGAAACGTAGAATTGATTGCATGAGGTCCCGTTCGGCTATAATAGCTCATCGTGACTGGTTGGACCTCGAAACGGCGGTCTCGGAGGGACGAGGACATCTCCGGACGTGTTTTGAAAGCGGAACACTAGCCGAAAATCGATGTCATCGGACGGCTGGTGTCTCTGACTCGGGACGAATTTAGAAGCGTTCTTCCTCGCTTAGCACGTCGCGATCTTACGTAATCGTCCGTAAGAGCGAACTTGCCCGAACTTTGGCTGACACATGGTATTTCCGTATAGAACCATTTGTGGAGAAATTCCTGCGATAAATTTCATTGCACCGTCTGTAGCTTCTAGACGAAGGAGGTAGAGTGGAATCTTTGAGTGGTTTCCTTTAGCGACCTGAATCAACGCGAGGAAGCCCTCGAAGGAAGAATTCGGAGAATGTTTTGAGACCGTGTGTAAAATTATGTACATACGATGTGAACTGAACGGTTTTTCTCTACGGATTGAGCAACGTTTAACAGAGAGAAAGACAGAAAGGTAGTGACAGAGTGGAAGAGAACGGAAGTAAAAGAGAGAAAAAAAACGGAACGTGAATGAACTCAAAAGCCAGCCAAGTGCCAAACAGAATAACACTCGTCCTTTGCTTGGAGCAGTACGAGACACTCGCTAGCAACGTACTGGAAATTCCGACAAGTAGCGCCAGTCCAACAATTCGCGACCTATCGTGTGCGTTACCGTAACCTAACGACCCGTACGTGACACCCCTGCAACCCTCGATTTTTTTCATCGTCGAAACTTGGTTCGTAAGATTTGGACGAAGAAACGAAGTACAAGAGGAAAGTCGAAGAAGAAGAAAAAGAAGAACTGGAAGAAGAAGAAAAAGAAGAGGAAAGAGAAAGCGTTACGAGCAGAACGTGTCTAGGTACACATCTTTCTTCGAGCGGCTCGCGTGGTTCATTCGGATGGCACTTCTGCCCAGACGTGTACACACGTGACCTCGAGCCACGAGGACGAATCAAGAGGGCGCCGTGCGCGTTCGCGGTGGTTCCCGCTACGGTCAGTCGCGATCGAACCATCCTGACGCATGGGTCACAAGCGATCTCATCAAATTTCTCATTTCAAAAGACTAAGACGCGACGGGATATAACCACGAGGCTGATCGCAAGATAAAAAGAACGTTCGAACTCCTTTAATTTTCACAGCTGACAAAGAGGAAGTAGATCTCGAAGAAAGATTGTCACCAGAGGGGAATACGAATGACCGAAACGTCTAGATGACGAAGAATAGCCAGACAACGTATAAATTGGATAAAGGATCGTAAGAAGAAGAAAAAGAAGAAGATGGAGAAGAAAAAAAAGAAGTAGTAATAGTAGTAGAGGTTGAAACAGAATAACGCGCAATGACAATAGAATTGGAAAAAGACTTAATAGAAGAGGGTAACAGAGGGATAGAAAGAGAAAAGGTCTCGCGGTATCGACACGGAAGTCGCGTCGTCTATTACGAGCACGGATAAACGGCCGAGCTGATGCTGTGGTAGGCGGCGAGGGCGGCGTGCGCGTGCGCAGGGGGCGCGGATGCGGCTGCGTGCGGCGAGG